GTAATATGAAGCTAATGGAGTTAAAATGGTCAATTTAAAACCATAAGAAACTTCTTAACTTCTTATAAGAAAAAGAAGATGCAATCTTAGATCTTCCATTTTCAAATCCAATATTCTTGCTATTACATGACAGTACACCAAACGATTAGTTCATTCAATTTTAGCACTATGCTTCCTAAACTAAAGATAAAATATCAAGGCAGACATATGATTAACTTGTTCAGTAATTGCACTGCAATGAATTACTCAATCTCTCTCACTGTCATCAACTCGGATCTGACTCATAGTGACCCCACCTTCGGTTTCCAAGTCGTTATCACTACGGAAATAGATTTCCCAACCTTCCTTCCAAAGAGTGGCTGGTAGATTTGAACGACCAGTCTTCTAGTTAGCAGTCAAATGCCTTAGGCACTATGCCACCAGAGCTCCCAGTTATTCAATAGTCACATAAATATCCACTGTTAGATTATTACAATGGAATTTTTCACCCAGAAATATTCGTATTATAGTTATTCCTGTTGTTTCAGTTTTTCCTAATAATATAAATCTCAAGAAAGAAGAAAGACATTTTGGGGTATTATGTAATTAATCACATTAATGAGGTACATATGTATTTATATTATATTTTTATAGAGTATATTAATGAGATAAAAATTTATTCTCAGGCAACTTAAACTCAGAATAATATTGAAATATCTGAAGACATTTACTTTTCTTATCTTTTTCTTCTTAACAACTGGCTTTAGTTTACTTGAGTCATCTATTGAAGAATACGAGTCAGAAAATGATATCTGTCTGAAGAATAGGGGGTATTGTCTGGAAGAGAGAACTCCATTGTAAAGAAATCCCTGCTCCAAGTTTGATCAGTTATTACACTCATTCACACATGCACACACACACCCTACAGAAAATATAACAACAACATGCAGCTCCTATTAGGTTTCAGTCATCACTCTGCCATATGCCAGCCCTTTAATTGCTAAAGCAGGATGAATCATAGCATTGTGACTGAGTTTATAATCTTGGGCCTCACCAGAAATCCAGAAATTGAGGGACTTCTCTTTGTCCTCTTTCTCTGCATCTACCTTGTGGCTTTTCTTGGCAATATGCTCATTGTCATTGCCATAATGTATAACACGTCCTTACATACTCCCATGTATGTTCTCCTTCTGGCCCTGGCTATTGTGGACATCATCTGCACAACGAGCATCATACCCAAGATGCTGTGGACCATGCTCACATCAGAGAAGACAATTACTTATAGGGGCTGCATGTCCCAGCTCTTCTTCTTCGCATGGTCTCTTGGAGCCGAGATGGTTCTCTTCACCACCATGGCCTATGACTGCTACGTGGCCATCTGCTTCCCTCTTCGCTATAGCATGATTATGAACAACCACATGTGTATGGCCTTACTCAGCATTGTCATGGCTATTGCAGTAACCAATTCTGGGGTGAACACTGGTCTCACTGCAAAGCTCACCTTTTGTGGGCCCAATACTATTGACCATTTCTTTTGTGAGATACCTCCCCTGTTAGCTTTGTCCTGCAGCCCTGTGAGAATCAACGAGGTAATGGTGTATGTTGCTGACATTACCCTGGCTGTAGGTGATTTCACCCTCACCTGTATCTCCTATGGTTTTATCATTGCTGCTATTCTTCGAATCCGCACAGCAGAAGGCAAGAAGAAAGCCTTTTCAACGTGTTCATCCCACCTCATAGTGGTTTCCCTTTACTATTCCCCTGTAATCTACACTTACATCCGCCCTGCTTCTAGCTACACATTTGACAAGGACAAGGTGGTAACTATGCTCTATACTCTTGTGACTCCCACATTAAACCCAGTTGTGTATAGTTTCCGAAACAAGGACATGCAGGCAGGTATTAGTAAGTGGTTTGTTTCTCTGAAACATTAGTAACTTGAAGGGAACATCAAGTCTCTAGGCTTGAATCATCTCCTAGAACATTTAGAATTTTAATGATGTTTCATACTTGCCTCTTCTCCATTTTTCCCATTCACTCTTTTTTTATTTTTAAGTGATATGAAAAGGTTTTATTATCCTGAAGAAATTCTATTCAAAAGCATGTAATACAATTTGAATACAAGCCCTGAAAATAATTATTTTTGGTTATTAAAATGCTAAAAGTAGATTTTCACTTCTCGGTAAGGTGATCATTTCTAATGTCACATACACACAGACATTATTCTGTACCTTTTAAAAGATTTAATTTTGAGACTTAGTATTTTTAACAATTAAGAATAGTTTAGTTGGTCAAGTTAAAGTTGCCTCAGAACTTTGGGAATCTATTCATGTGTTTTATTTTCTTTAAAACAATTAACTTGTAAAAGTATGATGTTCTCTTTTGCTGACTCATTCACCTATGAAAAATGAGGGGACATTCATCCTAAAAATCAGTTAGAATCAGGATTTGCAGGATTTTAAATTTTGTGCTGAAGATATGTCCTAAAGACATGCCCAAATATAATCACAGAAGCTATTCAAAGCCACTTAACACTATTATCTACACAAATATCATAATACAAAAAATTGTGTATTTAAAAAAAAAAAAATCAGTGATTTTATATAACATAGGAATGTTGATGTCTAATTTCATTAATGGGAACTCTGGTAGCATAGTGGCTAAGGCACTTGACTTCTAACCAGAAGACTGGTGGTTCAAACCCACCAGCCACTCCCTGGAAGGAAGATAGGGCAATTTACTTCCGTAGTGATACTGCCTTGGAAACCCAAGGAGGGGTCGCTATGGGTCAGGTAGGTCTGACTCAATGGCACACAACAACAACAGTTTCATTAATTCTTATGTGTTCCAAGGTAACTGAATTTTAGTAAGTGCAACCTTGTTGTTCAATTATACTTGAATAATAAGAATGTTTACCTATTTGAGGAGTCCCTGAGTGGTGCAAAAAGGAGCTCTGGTAGCATGGTGTCTAAGGCATTTGACTGCTAACAAGAAGGATGGCAGTTCAAACCAACCAGCTGCTCCACAGAAGGAAGATGGGGAAATCTACTTCCATATTTACCACCTTGGAACTCCAATGGAGGTCATTATGCACAACTGACTCGATGGGAGTGAGTTCATTTATTTTGGTGGTGCAGTTACCATGTTTAGCTGCTAACTGAAAGGTTGGAGGTTCAAGTCCACACAAAGGCACTTTGGAAGAAAGGCCTGGTGAGAAACTTCTGAAAAAACAGGTTTTAAAAATGCTGTGGAGCACAGTACTACTGTGACACACATGGAGTAGCTGTAAGTGGAATTGAACAGAAGGCAGCTGGTTTGATTTTACCTATTTGAGTATTTTCTTCAACTTCAAATTATCTGTTTCACCTGAAGTACACTATCAACTTTGACATATTTTTCCTTCTAACTTGTAAAATCCAAAACTTAATCTCTCTTTAGAAACATATGAACTGAACCTGTCTAACAGTTCTATTGCTCCTTATTATTTTCAGCTTTCATATTTTTTTCTGAATTAGTTGTGAATGTGATGTTTTTGGTCTAAGTCTTTGAAGAAGAATATTACATAAACAAACACTTATCTTCAAATTTTTGTTTTAAATAAAAAGATCATACAATTTAAAAGAGGATGCAATTCTTATTTTTCTCTCCAAAATAGTAACAGTCATGCACCCAATTAGCCAGTGGTCAAAAAAAAAAAAAAAAACATATCTTTGATCTAGTCTTGTTGACTATACTTACTGTCATGAAAATGTGGCTTTGCCTGCAAGAGACCAGCTTTTGTGTCCTTCTCCAATTCCTTCAGTGTCCCCGGGTAAGGTGCTTACTGTTCCTCAGGCTAGAACTCCAGAATATTATATTTTAAGACATACTTTATGACTACTTTAAATCTAATATTACTTTAATCTAAACCTCAACTACAGGCTCTTTTAATGGCTCAGTTACATA